CATGTGGTTCTATCTTCGGTGCTTTGCTTGTGAGGATTGAAATAAAAATTCCGGTGGCAATGACTTCTTTACGTGATAGCAGACTAGACCAGTCATGGCCTCAAGGAGCAACTGGTGACAAGAGCACGGTTGCCATTTCAAGCGACCAGATTTGTATCTCTATTTTCTTTTGGATTAGTGCGCTCAGTTTGCCGTTTTCTTTTTATCATTGTTGCGGATTCCTTTTTACTTATGTTCTTCTGGGTTAGTGCATTTGGCACGAATCGAGATAACTTGGCACTGCCTTATTCATGTCAATAAGGCAGTGCAGACCGCACTGCAAGACCTATGATCAAAAAAGGAGAAGTCAGAGGCACGAGGAGTTATCCCCGGGTTGGCACTCCAACGTTCAAGTCAGTAGGAGGTGGTAGATGGTTGGGCCGAGCTATAAAGGTGCTAGTCCAAGTTAAGTAGCAGTATGGGTGTCAAAAGTTGGGGTCCCTTACCTTGAGCATGTAATACCTTCTTATAGCCACGGACCCGTGTCCTGGTCGGATTGGGCTCCCGGGGTTGTTGGGATGAAGTAAGTTGTTGAGGTATTCGGGATAGACTCTTAATCCCCGATAGAGTTGTCAGCCTTACTCCTTTTTATTCATAGTTACACTTATCCGCGCCACGGGTAGCTGACGTGGCTGAGGGGATAAGATGGGGGCCATAGTAATAGCGTAGCCCGGCCTAGGCTGCGGAATGAGTGCATGCTGTAGAGAGAGCCGAGCCATGCCGATGTGGCTGGGCTAACCGAGCAATGACTGGGTGGCCACGTGTCTCTCTGGACCAGCCCGGCCATGACCCGCACACCATTCTCCCAATTTTGAAATCGAGGCATGAGGTGTTCTACCGAGGTGTAGCACGGTAGGACGCCTTGTTCCTCGGCTAAGGAACTCCAAGTCGAAGTCTAGTTGAGCGTCTAGTCCACTTGATGTTCCTCGGTGTTTGGTAGAATGTGAGGTCCGCGCAATGTGGTTGTGGCCGGGGAGTCCTTTAATTGTCGGTTATAGAGCTCTAAGAATTCTAACTTCATAATCTGAACACCACTCCCCCAGTTCTGTAGTCGAGGAGGGGGAGTGCTCGGTCGAAGTGTTGCGTGGTCGTGTAGCTCGACAGGGCGTCGAGATGAGCTTCGAGGTCCGTCTTCCTGGTGGAGCTGAGAAGGGATCTTCATTCCTCGGCTGTGCTGCGCGATCGCTTAGCTCGGTCGGGTGTTGAGGAAGGGCTTTCTGATTCCTAGTGGAGGCCGAGCTTCGGTGTTGAGGCCACT